CCAACATGAATGAATGGGTGAATGGGTAAGTATTAAACAATTTAAAAAAATGGATAAAAAAATGTTAAAAACATAAAAAATGGTCCGTCTTCCCCACCTTTTTCTGTGTGGGACAGGACATCGAGCCCTTTACAGACACTGTCCCATTTAGTTGGTGTGATGGCCCTGTGAAGTGGAGACTGCACCCCACACCTTACAGGTGAGGAAACGAGGCCGTGCAAGGCCACGGACAGCTGGATGTGGACCTCAGGTGGCGTGATGGAGGACGCAGGCACAGCCATCCCACGCCACGTGAGCCAGGCCACGTCTCCCATCGCAGAGTATCAATACACACACACACACACACACACACACACACACACGAGTCTGTCAGTCAGTAACCCGGAGCAAACTCCTTTCTTAATAAACTCCATGTGATCCATTCTTCTCATTGAACATATTTGCTCATGGCTTGCCTCTTCTGTGTGGGCATGAATGGCCCACGTGTCCTCCAAGACAGAACTGGCCAGTGACGCCCTCTGCCCACACTGGACATGGCCCACTCATCCACGAGAGGGCCTGGCCTTCCTTGCCCCACAAGCCTGCCTCCTCCTCTGAGACCGCAAGTCCCCAGCGGGCGAAGCCTGACACTCACCAGCTCACTCCCCCACCCACCCACCTGGCTCACCCATGCGCTCATTCATTCACTCATTCAGTCACTGCTCATAGAAGAAACCAGTTATGTGCCAAATGCAGACCAAGGAACCAGAGAATCTCCAGTGTGTCACAGGCAGTCACAACAGTTGTTTCAGAAAAGTCATTCATCACGGTCATCTCAAGAAGCAATTTAAAATGCAAATTTCTGGGTCTGACCCCAATGTTCTAATTAAGGAGGGCCAGGTGGGGCCTGGCAGTCTGTATTTTTTCAAAACTTCCCTGGCCCATCAACCTCAGGTGACCCTGATGCCCTGCCAGCTTTGGGGTTTCGCCCAATAGATAAGTACCTTCTGGAAATGGGCAACCTCAGCTCAAGAAACCCCGAGGCAGAGGCGCTCATTACCTCATAGGGCAGCCTCTCATCTCCAAGCCGCACTTACTGTGAGGAAACCCTTTTCTATACTCGGACACAAGGCGCCTTTTTGGAAATTCGCTCCTTTGTTTAAATTTTGTCCTCTGGTACCATGAAGAGGATGCCGACGCCCCTCTTTCATACAACCAGCCTGAGAAGGGCCATCCTAGTTTCCAGAATCTTCTCCCTTTTAGGCCAAATGCCCATACTTCCAACAACTTTCAAAAAATGGAATGCATTCTACTCTTATCCCGTTTCAAACGTGAAACTCCGAATTGGGTACGGTATTCTGACGGAGCTCAGAGCCTTCAAGCTTCAAGGGGCAATCCTTTCCCATGCTCTGGTCTCCTTCTAATGAGGCAGAGTCTACGGAAGAGGTTCTTGACCTTGGCTGCACGTTGGAATAATCACCTGGGAAGCTTTAGGAACTACTGATGCTTAGGGCCCACCTCTCAAGAGATTCTGATACAACCGTCTGGGGCTCTGCCTGGTTATCAAGATTTTTTTTTTAAAGGTTCCAGGTGATCTTAACGAGCAGCCGATATCGAGAGCTACAGATCCGACAGACGTTGATCTCTCTGTGTTATTCTATTGGCTCACACTAAACTCATTCACACTCAACCTTTTGCCCTGAGTCCCTGCCGAGCCAGGCCTTCCTCATCATGCCCTTGAGGAACTGATTAGCTGAACTTAATGGCAGGCTTTTACAATGACTCCCAATAACTGACTCTCATCAGTTTGGTGTGGGTCCACTGTTGGAAGGCTACTGAAGGTCAAGTCAACTGAGCTGCGTATGGACGATCTGCTCTCCCTTTAGCTTTGAGCTTCTGGTATCTTCATGGAAAACATGAATAAAATCGTCGATCTCTGAACGATACTCTACTGAAAATTCTATAGGAAATAAATGACAGCAGGTGCTTTTTAAGCCACTGGATATCTTTTCACAGATAAGGGCTAAAGATTTATGGTCACAGATAAGTCCAAGAGCATGGCGTCATTCCTAGAATGAAACGTTTCATACAGCTCTCCCAAGTTCTCTGGTGGCAGCGCTAGGTAGTCAGACACGAGCAGGTCCCTGCCCCGTCCTGGATGGGGATCATCTTTCCCTCCCCCATCTGGACACTGGTGATCAGAACATGCCCAGAGGTCCTCCCTCTTGTGGTCAAGGACCACCGCTAAGTTTCCAGACGTATCAGGACCAAGCAAGATAGAACTGCCAGAACAGGTTGGTGCAGGCGCACCAAGACCCAAAAGGTGACTCAGAGTAACAGGGCGGGGTTCGTTATGCTGTAATTATAATAAATTAGCATTGCAGTTTTTGTTCCTCCCCCGCCCCCCCCACCGTGTTTCACTTCGGTGCTTATGGGTAAGCACCTGCGCGCTAAGGGAGAAGTAATATAACCTAAAGCTGTCCATCAACTTGTCAGTCAGATGACGCAGGACACAGGGAGGGACCACTGCTCTAAAAAACCCAACCCTACCCCCACTGTGGGACTGCTTCTGGTTTCCAGACAGCCCGCTCTTGTCCTTTCTCAGGAGCATACTTTTGCTTTAACAAAACTCTTGCTACTTAAAACTGCTCTATGCCTCTCGTCTGAATTCTTTCCCTTGAGAGGACAAGAACCAAGGAAACGGCTGTTCTGCCAGTGACAGCAGCAGCTAGCGCAAGCCCCCATGCTGGGCTGCCAGGGTGCTGCCGGCGGAGGACATCTCCTGTGTGTGACCGCCCCAGTCTTATTCACTTATTTTATTAAAAAAAATTTACTTGTTTGTTTATTTTTGGCTGCACTGGGTCTGCGTTGCTGCGTGCAGGCTTTCTCTAGTTGTGGGCGCTACTCTTCGTTGTGGTGTGCGGGCTTCTCATTGCGATGGCTTCTCTTGTTGCGGAGCACAGGCTCTAGGCGTGCGGGCTTCAGCAGCCGTGGCACGTGGGCTCAGCAGTTGTGGCACATGGGCCCTAGAGCGCAGGCTCAGTAGTTGTGGCACGTGGGCTTAGTTGCTCCACGGCATGTGGGATCTTCCCGGACCAGGGCTCGAACCCGTGTCCCCTGCATTGGCAGGCGGATTCTTAACCACTACGCCACCCGGGAAGCCCTCCCCAACCTTATTTAAATCAACTGCCATGTGGACCAAAACTGCTCTAGTGATACCATCTCAAGATGCTCTGAGCCTATAGGAAGACTATATTAATACACATCTCACTGGCCAGAAAATGAACTGTTAATTGGTTTCTCCAGAGCTGGAAGGTCTTTGACTCCATTATGAAAGCATCATTCAACTTTGTATGAATGAGGAGACGATATGGCAGAACACAATCGAAAGGTTTCCAGTAAATTTTAGGAAGGTAAAGTTAGATTTTGTAGAATATTTTTTTTTAATTTCAAAAAGTGGTATTTCTCTTGCATTCATAGCACAGACTCTAAACTGGCATTTTCAGTCTTTCCCCATCTTCAGTGAAGCTGATTTTCTACCTGCTCTTTCTCCATCCTGGCTGTGCTCCCCTCCCGGGGGCATCTGAGTGAAGTCTGCTACTTCCTTCTATCACAGCAAAGAGAGCTGCACTTGAATTATCTCCAGGTATAAAAAACATACAAAGTCAGACGACTGAGCACATCTGCTTCCCAACACAGGGAGCAGCTCTGCGAACCTGTTAACTGGTGCCTGAATCTCGTGCTTGGAATCACCTGGGGCAGGACCACCTCGTCCAGGGCTCCTGCAGGCCCTAACGGACACTGAACACCCATGAGACCACTCTGAACCAAACTCACCTGTAGTGAGGATGGATACAGTGAACAGTGGGTTCCATTTCCACCCGAAACATAGCAGAAAATGTCTGCTATCATCTCCTGGCATTTTTCAAATGTGTGTTTAGTAGATAGACAACTCCTCATGTTTCTACACACGTCTTTTTTAAAAAAAACCCCATAAGAATTTTCTATAGGGTACTTCCCTGGTGGCGCAGTGGATGAGACACCGTGCTCCCAATGCAGGGGGCCTGGGTTCAATCCCTGGTCAGGCAACTAGATCCCACACTCAGTGCCACAACTAAGAGTTCGCATGCCACAACTAAGGAGCCCGCCTGCTGCAACTAAGGAGCCGGCGAGCCGCAACTAAGGAGCCCTGGAGCCGAACTAAAAAGCCCGCGTGCTGCAACTAAGGAGCCCACGAGCTGCAACTAAGGCCCGGCGCAACCAAATAAATAATTTTTAGAAAAAGAATTTTCTATAAAAGACTCCACTTTAGGCCAAGGGTACATCAGACTTCGCATTCTATAGTACAGACAATTTTTCCTGAATTTTTGCACTCACGTATCAATCTTTTATATGGTATTTAATAAACAGACTTAACATTATTTTTAGCCAGCCCGCTCTTCCTGGATACTCAGGTCAGTTCCAATCTTTTAATTCTGCCACGGCTCTCTTTGCCATTTGTCATTTCACATATTAGAATGTACCCTGAAGATAAATTCCTAGCAGTGGGATTCAAGGTAAAAGTGTATGTGTGTGTGTGTGGTGTATGGGGCTCTTATTTTTCTTTATAAACACCATGAAATATAATACTGAAAGCTACATGAGACGTATAATACTTAAATGACTATAAAACAAGCACCAGTAAAACGTTACCAACACCCCTACAAGTCCCTCTGTTGCCTCTACCCTTTATAACCCTCATCATCCTTCCAGAAGAAATTACCGTACTCTGTGGTATTCATTTAATTATCATCAGAAAACATGCATTTTGAAGAACCGTAAGCCAAAGGAAAACAAAATCCAGGATGAGCTCTAACACGTGTAGCTTTAACAGGAAATCACTGGAAGCCTGGCTTGTCTGAAGCCAGCTTCTCGCTTTATCTTAGCTCACGGGTGCTGCTTATAAGGAACGACATAAAAATAACGTGAGAAACAGAAAGAAAGAGTTGGTGGTGGGAGAAAGAACATGGGATTGTACTCACCACAGGGCGAGTCGTTGCTCAATTTCCTTGAGAAAATTTGTATGAAATTTGTGCAAAGGTTCAAAATTCGGGAAAATGAGACTTTTCAAGGTTTCGGGCATGGAGTCCTCTTTGCTTACTGTGCTCTGAAACCACTGGGAATAAAAAGAGGACACTCTTAGAGGCGTTAAGGTGAAGGATGAAGGTCTGCAACTCCTCAGACGTAACGCTGCAGCCCACCACGCGTGGAGGCTAAAGGGCTTTCCTGCCGCGTCTGTAGAATTTCAAGAGCACCAAGGGCTTTCAAGCTTTACTGCTTTCCCTCCTTTCATTAGGTGGGGTAAGAAGTACCCATCTCTTCGTTACCGCTTCCTGAAGTTTGTTACCCATTGACTGTGGAAGTCGGGACAAATCTCTGAAGTGGGCAGATACTGAAATCAAAACTTCCATTACGGCCAGCTCACTCGGTCATCGCTGAGTTATACCACTTCACGCCCTCTGGTTTAGTCCTTGAGAAACTTCCATCTCTGCTCCTTCGCTGAAATGCTGAGCAGGAAGATGGCTGAACCAGAGAGGTGAAGCCTCTGCCTTCACACACATGACTCATCTCGCTGACCTGAAGTCCAGGTGGGTCCCACAATGATTGCTGAGCACCTGCCCAGGTCACCACGGCTGCCCTAGAGGCACAGAAACCCAACGATTCCAACTGACCTCCAGTGGGCTAGGTTCCTTCCCAGAATCCAGGATCATGAAGTCATCTGCCATGCTTTGAATTTGTTTCCAAGACTGAACAGGACTGATTAATAAAAGGCAGGCTTTTGGGTAGATTTTGCTGACATGGCTTAATTTATTGGCAAAGATAAAACAAGGCTTCTACTTCGCCTCTGAGGTCTCCACCAAGCAAACATAAAGGGCAAAACATGCAATGTTCTCCATCGGTGCAGGCAGACAGTAAAACGTTTCATTTTACATTTCTCCACTTTAGAAACTTCCTTCCTTTGCACTTAAAGATCACAGTTATAAAAGCTTTTTAGAGCATATTCCAAATTAAACATACTATTACTGCCTAATTTCTACAACCCAGAACCCAAATTCTTTTAATTGGAGTCAGAGAACCCGACATTTAATTAGATCCAGCTTGTCTCCTAAAGCTGAGTATAGGCAACATAAATTATGTAATCTAAGGCTTTAGGGGAAATGTTACACATACCGAAGTGATGACTTCGAGATCCTTCAGATACGTTCTCTCAGTGGTGGAGACTTCCTTAGCGATGAAGTACGCTTTGTCAGTTGGAAATCTCTGCAAAATCCATTAAAAGAAAGAAGACATAATCATTTGGGCCTAAAGTCTCTAAGCATGTCCTGATTATAAGCAAGTCCTAACTACAGTGATACGCTGCTAACTTACGATCTTTGGTTGACTGGTATCAAGGCTAAATAAACTCTTATCTATTCTCCTTTTTTGGTGTGAGAGGAACTAGGATAGAAAATGGATTTCTATGATGAGAAAACTGCCTAGGAATGTTTCCTTCCATGTAAATACCACCCGCAGTGAAAGGCCTCGAATGAGTGTGCTAGCTGCCACTGAGGACTATTCATTCAATACTGGGCACCTGAAAAGCTAATTAATTAGGATAATGGAGTGGTGCAGGCTTCAAGGAAATGAATGAAACAGAAAGCACAGCAGCCTTTGTCCTGGGCGTCGTGGGCTGGTGCTATTGACTTTCAGGAAATGGAAGTTACATTGTTCGTGGGAACACGAAGGGTACTGATCCAAAGGGACGAGGGTTACAGCAGCTACAGCCCATTGGTTAGGCGGGCAGGCAGCACTGCCCTAGAGCAGGTCTGCCACTGGTTTTGCTTCTCTTTAACCAACAATTAAAAGGAAATCCCTTGTTGTTAACCATCTTGCTTCCCACAAGAGTCCAACCGATTCCACCTCTGGGGATACACACGAAGCAGAGATGAGAACAGATACTTGTATACCCACGTTCCCAGCACATGAAGACGAAATAGCCAAGAGGAGGAAACAACCCAGCTGTCCATCAATGGATGGATGAATACACAAAGTGTGGTGTCTCCATACAATGGAATACTAGTCAACCTAAAGAAGGAAGGACATTCTGACAGGCGCTACCAACATGGATACACCTGGAGGACAATTATGCTAAAGGACATAAACCAATTACAAAGGGACAGACACTGTATGATTCCACTTATACGAGGTTAATGCCTAGGATAGTCAGTTCACAGAGACAGAAAGCAGAACGGTGGTTTCCAGAGGCTGGGCGTGGGGAGGTAATGCTCAACGTGCATGGAGTTTGTTCGAAGGATGACCGAGTTCTGGAAATAGTGATGATGGTCACACAACACTGTGAGTGCACTGAATGTCACTGAACGGTGTGCTTAAGAATGGTTCACATGGTAAATTTTATGTTATGTGTATTACTGGAAATGACAACAAAAGATCAACAGGCGAGCGCCTGCCATCCCCACACCTTTCTCCGGCCGTCGTCCTCGTCGTCAGTCCGAGGGCCCGCCTGGTCGTTCAGCAACGGGCTGACCAAGGGGGAGGCCTGCTTGGTGTCGGGGCTCAGGTTGGGTGACAGGACGGTGCTGGTGGGCGCAGCTCCTCCCTGCGAGTTGATGGACAGCTCTGAAAGGTGAGGGCTGCCAGTCAGGGAGCCTGTTTGGGGATGAGAAGTATTAAAGAAAAGAAAAAAAAAAGTAATTCCTTCTGGGACCTGGTGTCCACTTACAATTTTCACCTAATCAAACCTTTAGAAGCTTGACTACCATATGGCGCACTTATGATGCCCTTCGTGATTTTCTAGTTTTTTCCCTAAGTTGCAGCTGCCTTAATCCTAAAGATACTATTCAGTGGAACACAGTTATGTCATTAACGATAAGGTGGAGAACTCTGCTTAGAGCATAATTACAATAGTTTAAAAGCATCGTGTATCTGCAAATAGGATCTTCATCTCCTAACTACTGCCTTAGCTTCTAAGAATTACTCGAGGAAGACAGTGTCTATATCACAAGGAGACGTGGGAAGTGACCAGAAAATAGAGCTATTCTAATAGAAGACTAAAGGACTTGGGACACCCAGGACAGACTACATCTTGGAACAACGGGCCACAGGTAGAGAAAGGGAAAGCAGCCACCTCCCCATTCTACGAAGAACAGAAGCGAGCTTGTTATACCTGGTGATGTCACTCCATGTCTCTCTCACTGTTTGGGACAGAAACACTAGTATCACAATTACAGCAAAGGTGATCATTTAAAAATGCAAAGCTGGAGGTCATTACATTATCATAATTCCCCTTTATGAGTCAAAAAATGATAGGAAATTAATCATTCCTCTGAGAAGGATACCACAGTAAATAACAGGAAAATGTATAATTACCCGAGTCAGCCAAATGAGATGATGTGCACATGAAACTCTGTGCCAACAGAATTTTGCCAATACCGATACCTCAACCTTTTGAAACTACTAATAAAATGAGATGTTTCAAAATCTACTTCTAAACTAAGTGTCTTGCCCAACAGTTTTATAATTCTAAAGCAGATCTGCAAAAACTAGGATTAGCGTAAACAAAGTTCCAGTAGCCTGCAGTCCTGTCAGTTACCATCATAGGGAAAGACGACATAAACGCTTTCTCCATTTTCCAATATACAGGTTCATGCTCATGGCTACTCAGCACAGTATCGAGGATCTCGGAAGGAAAGGGGAAGTGCGGTTTTCCAGGAATCCCCCCATTTTCTGGACCTCTGTCCTTTCTCTCTGGATTCATTCATATTCACTCGGAAATCACAAGACAGGGCAGCCTCGAATGAAGCTGACGGAGTTGGGTAATGAACTTGATCCCAGTATGAATGAACCTTGCAGAAGCCGCCACCAGCCCCCACCCGGTCCCAGGTTGACCAGCTAGCTGTGTCACCTACACACGGGTGAAAAGCCACCATGCCCACAAAAGCAACGGAAAGCAGACATCCTGCCCACTGACTGCTGGTCAGTACAAGCATCCCTGAAGAACAAGATTAGAACATGTCAGGTAAAGTCAGATTCCAGAAGTTCGCATTAAAAAATAATCCCTCCGTTTAAGTTCCTTGCGTTTTCGTAGACATCATTAAAACAAAGTCCTGATGTGAGACAAAGACGCAATCACCCCACACACCACCAGACCCAGTAAAACCCGGAGAAAAAGGCCAGAAATTGCTTCACAAATGTCAATTTTATTGACACTAGTGCACAACCGAATACAATCATTTCGAGAGAATTGGAACTTGTCAAATAGAAATAGTGACAACAATCATAACTGCAATTGATTCAAGGTACTACACTATTCTCTTAAAAAAAAAAGAATCACAAAAAGAAAAATGTTATCACTACAAAGAGGAATTAGAAAAGAGAAATTCTGGCAGTCTGTCTGGAGATCAAAACATTTCATGCATTTGTGAGTTGCTATTGGAGGGTCACCTTTTATTTGTCCACCATCATCTGGCAAAGCATGGAGGCTTACCTTCAGCTCTCACACTACGTATGAGACCAGGTGAGGCAGTGTAAGTGAGAACATGCCGGGCCTTGAATCTGCAGTGACGTGGGACAGAAAAAGCGTTCGCCTCCTCATTGAAAGAGTTGGAGCCGTGAACAAAAAGCAGTTAGAAGGCTAGCTTGAAGGAGGCGTTCAGGTGGGGAAACAGTACTGATTAGTCCCTGGACGGCATCCAGCAGCAGATAAAAAACCAAGTGCCACATGGCGAGGGAGAAAATAAGGGGAAACACACTCGAGTGCAACCATGTCCACCCTCCAAAGGTCGACAGTTGCCCTTGTGAATTTCCCTGGGGACACTTCAGTTTGGTAGACCTAGCGGGCCAGAAGGGTGAGCTAACAGACCAGGGCTCCGGGAGAGGTGTCACCCTGCCAAGAAGGCAGGACACACTGCAAAGAAGATAGCAATCTAGAAGACACCCCACTGGAGCACACTGGAGCACACTGGAGACAGGATTCAGAAAGCGGGACACCGAGAGTGAACCTGACGACAACCGATGTCCCTATGTAGAGTCCGGGGCAGTTCTGGGTTCAGCTACGTTCTCACTCACGTGGCCTAAAGGTGTGTGTGACACCGACGTTACACGTGCAATACACAACCTTGGAGGATGACCAAATTAGGGTAGCCCATTTCCATTTCCTGAGAGGCGACTTCAACGGGCTTTGTGTCTACTAACGGGGCCCAAGAAGGCCAAGGCGATGAGTGTATTTAAATAGTAAGACCAATAAATCAATAAAGACCAAGCAGCCTGTTCTAGAAATCTATCAGCAATGCTAAGGAAGGGAAAGGTCCCAGACTCTGAGGTTCCATTTACCAGTCTGAGCCACATCCATGGAGAATAGCCTCCTTCCTCCCCTGGCAAGAGAAACTCCTCAAGGCTTTGAAAATTCATAGATGACATGTGTCCCAAACAAAAATCGGTAGCTCATTTACCATTCAACAATCAATGGAATATGCTGACGAGAGTAATCAGTAGAATTGGCAGCTTGGTGAGTAATTAAAGTTCTCTTTCGACTTGGAGCCAGTGTGTGACGAGGGTCTGTACAAAGTGGTGTCCACGCAGGGCCTGCCCTCGGGCAAGTGTGAAGGGTAACTAAGGTCACAGTTACTAGAGCTACATGTGACCAATTTTCACTGAAGTCGTCCATTTGACAATAAAAGCCAACAAACATGGCGATGTTAGATCAAATGACTCTGCCAGGTTTCTGCAACCTTAAAAAGCTGCTCCCATCACACAGTCTGTTCCCTGCCTTGAAGACGCAGCCCTGGGCAATGAGGAGAAATGGTGACCGGTGTTCACGGTTACTCCATGAACTGATTAACGCCTGGCAGTTTTATCATTTTCCTCCTCTATGGCAAATTGACACAAAGGAATTTCTTTCAGCAAGGGGCTCTAGATAAATAACTTGGGGCGGGGAGAGAATCTTCTAAGAAACCACCTGGATATTAAGGCAATAGGTGGAAAAAAGTCTGAAGAGATTAGAAAAAGATCAGTTACCACCCTAAAAGTCTGGAAGCTTTTGATTCTTAAAAGAATCTTTTCCTATTTTTAGAAATTGCCCTGCAGGTTTTTCGGCATTCAGTTATACGTCTGGTTAACGACTTTCAAGTCCCTCACCTCTACCAAATAATTTCATGACACGCCTCCCTTTGCCACCCCCAGATCTCCATGTCCCCGCGTCCACCCTTAATCTGTACCAACAGGGCTGAGTTTATGTCACTCCCCCGGATTAAACATGCCTTCACTAATGCTACTCTCGGGGGGGCATTTCTGGTAACTGCTTTAAAAAATATCCTTTCAAATGTACACATTCTCATGGCACAAACAAGTATGGAACTTCAAATTAGCACTGCAATATGTATGGATTTCAATTGATCACCCAGCCCAGAAACTGGGTTAGCTGCTCTATGTTTTTAATGTAATATACATTCATAATTCTTCTCTCTGGCTGCACAGGGGAAGTTGGATTTGCAGCCCCACCCAGACTGGAGCATCTCTTGACCGGTCCTCCACCAGAGGCACATAAAACAGTGGGAACATGGTTTATGATCGAGAAGCCAAACTCACGCCTGCCTTCCGCACTTGGGACTGGGTACAAGCCGCCTAGTGACCACCTACTTCCTCTGACTATACTAAAAGGCTTAAGAACAAACACACAAGCCTGGGGAAAGAGAACTCTCTAATCTGTTTCTCCAGTAATGAAAATGGCATTTCAAATACTTAGTTGTACCCGTCCTGTTTTAAACTAGTCAAATAAATTGGGAATCCTCATTTTTAATTAGATAAGTGTTATTTTTCCTGTTAAGGAGGGAACCAGAAACCCTGACAACTTTAAAAATAGTAATCCATAGATTTGGTAAATATGGAGATATCTGAGAATGAGAATACAGACGAAAATGAGACTGTTGATTGCTTTCTCAAGTCCTCTTTTCAAAATTATAAAAAGTACAATTATTTAAAAAGTATCTATGAGGATTTCCTCAATATTCTCCCAAAGTTCTGTATTTGGCAAACGTCTAGATGCCACTCATCTGTTGTGATTTGTCTCCTGCCGTTTGCTTCTAAAATATAGGAGATTGTGACTCTATGTACCCAGAATATGCTTCAAAGGCACACATAGGAAATACATTACAGATGCAGGTTTGCATTTATTTTTAAAAAGCCTCTTTTTAAATCCACAATCTCCCTCTAAAAGAGAAGACAAACCCTCTCTGGAGATGGTCTGCCTTTGAAAGCCAGTTACCAAAAAAAAAAAAAAAAAAAAAGGTCAGTACTGTATTGATTCATGAGACCAGGCAGGATTCACTCTAGTCTGATAACTAAGCTGGGTCCCACCCCAATGGAATATGTGAGAAAAAAAAAAAAAAAAGGCTGACAATGTTTCATTGAAGTTACAAGATTCCACAAGAAAAACCAGGTTATAGGATTACCAATCATAGCAGGGTGGCCTTCTTCTCGATAACTTAGGTTGTTGTGCGTAATGTACGGGCTTCTTAGACCAAGTTCCTTGAAGAAAAGTTTTACAAGCAGCTAAACATCATTACTGTTCATCATCAAGCAATTCAGAAAAGCAACAGAAATGCAACTTGCAGAAAAATAAAGAGAAATGCTGCTAATGGGAAAATGACAGC